CAAGCTGGGCACCAAGCCTTTAACCTTTGGGGAACATTACAGATCCAAGCTATAGTACCAGGGAAGGCACTACCATGTCATTTCTTAGGTTCTGAGTCTTGTAACTGTCCTGCCTTGTTCTTTCCACCTTTCAGAGTCTTATTACATTATATGTATATAATGTTCAAAGGTTTTAGTGATTCTTAGTGGGAGAAATAGGGAAGAGTACATCTGTCTTCCTGTAAAACAGTGAGAATCCATTTTGAACCTGTTAATTTGAATGTCAGACATCTGAGAGGAGATGTCAAGCAGGCGTATGGGTCCAGAGTTCTGGCAGTTCACAAAAGTTCCCTTCTGATGGCTTCATTTTTCACTGAGAAGTTGGGAAGTGATGTCAGTTGAAAATGAGAGTAACAGAGAAGGTGTTGGAAATTTGATAGAGGAAAATGTGAATTGCATCCTAAGAGGGGAGGAGGGCAAATGGACTAGAAAAATACAGTATATAATATCTTTATATATCTTTAAACATAGATCTGAATTTTTGGTTTTGAATATCAAATGAAAACAGTAGCATGGAAGTATATTTATTTCCAGCCATGTTCAGCTGCTTGATGCCTTGGTGAATTGTCAGAAAGCTTGATTTAATGAGGGGTAGATTTTGCCTCACCAAATGAATGAGTCAAAATGAGTAAGAGGGAAGGGAAGGGGCTGTGGATGTAAGGCAGGGATTGTAATGGCTGATCATCACAGAATTGAATCTTGGTTAAAAAAGCGGAGAGTATGTATTGGTGGGGTTTGGTGGAGGCCAAGGATGGGTGAAAAGTGTGAGGATCAGAGAGTAGTAGTCTTGATGGATTGAGAATACCAGGGGATGAGCTGAAAGGATAGGAGGCTGTGTCAGCAAGTAGAATGCATGAAATAGTTGATGGAAGAGTTGTGATAAGAGATAATGACCATGGACAAGAGAGACTAATGTAAGGAGGGAGGGCTAGCTTATCAGAAGAGGGGAGGTTAAGGATGTTGAAATCAAGACAGGAGTACTTGTCTTGTATTAAATTTTAAGAGCCAGGAGCTGAAATCATTAAAAATTAGAGGACACAACCTGACAAAAGTGAGTGATAGCTGAAGATATGAGACTCACAGCTTGTGGAGCTTATGGAGGGAATGGTCTAATCTGTATGAGGCAGAATCTGTGGTACAAGGATGGTGGGAGAATAAATTATTAATTAAAAGGGTTGTAGGGCTAGTGTGTCTTTAAGGAACAGTTAGGTTTTAGTTATACCAAGAGAATGAAGGATGGAAGGAGAGATCTGCTGAGGATTGTGAATTCTAGAGTGCTCCGTGGAGACTTTCTTTATAATCATTCCCCCAGGTATCAGCTTGTGTTCTTTAGACATAAATGAGTATCCAAAAAGTCAGATGTAGAATAACAATTGTTTTGAAAGTCATAGTTAATTATTTGGCTCTCAGTTATTTGAATTTTTAATTTTATTTAAAAACATGACTGGCTATACTTTGGGACAAAAGTTAAATGCATTATAGAAATAGTAATGTATAACCTGAACTTAACTAAGTTGAAGTGATGAATGTAAAAATTCTTTTTAGAAGTCCCTGTTTAATAGTTTTTGAATTGTGTACTCTGCCAGAGGTCCTATTTTTCTTTTCTTTCTTTTTTTAAATATATTTTTTAGTTGTAGATGGACACAATATCTTTATTTGTTTATTTTTATGTGGTACTGGGAATTGAACCCAGGGTCTCACGCATGCAAGACAAGCGCTCTACCACTGAGCTACAGCCTCAGCCCCTGTTTTTCTTTTCTTCTAGTAAACAATTTCAAGGAACCAATAACCGAGAATGCTTTAAGAGAGTTTAATTTTTTATTTTCTTTCTTTATTTTTATTTTTGTAGCACGGGGGGTTGAATCTAGGGCCTCCACACATGTTAGGCAAGTACATGACCACTGAACTATATTCCCATCCCCCTTTTAAAGCTATGCACCCCCCCAAAAAAAACCCCACAAATAACCCAATCAATAAATAGGCCAAGGACATGAACAGACACTTCTCAGAAGATGACATACAATCAATCAACAAATATATGAAAAAATGTTCATCATCTCTAGCTATTAGAGAAATGCAAATCAAAACTCCTCTAAGATATCATCTCACTCCAGTCAGAATGGCAGCTATTATGAAGACAAACAACAATAAGTGATGGCAAGGATGTGGGGGAAAAGGCACACTTGCTGGTGGGACTGCAAATTGGTGCAGCCAATATGGAAAGCAGTATGGAGATTTGTTGGAAAACTGGGAATGGAACCGCCATTTGACCCAGCTATCTCTTCCTTGGTCTATACCCAAAGGTCTTAAAAACAGCATACTACAGGGACACAGCCACATCAATGTTTATAGCAGCACAATTCACAATAGCTAACCTGTGGAATCAACCTAGATGCCCTTCAATAGATGAATGGATTAAAAAAATGTGGCATATATACACAATGGAATATTACTCAGCAATAAAAGAGGATAAAATCATGGCATTTGCAGGTAAACGGATGGAGTTGGATAAGATAATGCTAAGTGATTAGCCAATCCCCAAAAAACAAATGCCAAATGTTTTCTCTGATATAAGGAGTCTGACTCATAGTGGAGTAGGGAGGGGGAGCATGGGAGGAAAAGATGAACTATAGATAAGTTGAGGGGTGGGAGGGGAAGTGAGGGGGCAGGGGATTAGCAATGATGGTGGAATGTGATGGGCATCATTATCCAAAGTACATGTATGAAGACATGAATTGGTGTGAACATACTTTATATACAAACAGAGATATGAAAAATTGTGATCTATATGTGTAATAAGAATTGTAATGCATTCCGCTGTCATGTATTTAAAAATTAAAAACAATTAAAAAAAATAAAAATTTTATTTTTAGATAGGGTCTTGTTATGTTGCCCAGGCTAACCTTTAACTTTTCAATCTTCCTGCTTCAGCCTCCTGAGTAGTTGGGATTATAGGTATGTGTCACCATGTCTGGCTACTATCATTTTATTTTTTTTACTTTTTTCTGTGCTGTTGATCCAACCCAGGACCTTGCACATACATACTAGGCAAATGCTCTATAACTGAGTTACATCCATCAGCCCTAATCTTTTTAAAATAATTTATTAAATTATTTTCTTGGGAGACACTATTCATCCTAGCTGAAACCTGCTACATGAAATAGATATCAACTGTGTTAAGTAAACAAATATATTCACATAAAGGATTCGTCTGTACATGCACACATTTGTGAAAGGCCTAGTGTGGCTTGTTTTAATCTTATCCCCATAAAATATTTTATTTTAATTTGATAGGCTTTTAAATATTATCTAAATATATTTATATCCCACAAGCCTTTTTTTTTTTTAAAAAAAAAAAAAAGCATAATAGGGCTGGGGATGTAGCTCAAGCGGTAGCGCGCTCGCCTGGCATGCGTGCGGCCCGGGTTCAATCCTCAGCACCACATACAAACAAAGATGTTGTGTTCTCCAAAAACTAAAAAAAATAAATATTAAAATTCTCTCTCTCTCTCTCTTAAAAAAAAAAAGCATAATAGATGTCCTTGAAGGTCTTCAACAAATTCTACATTTGGTTATGTATTAGAAACACTGGTTAATTTCAACAGGAGGGGCTGGGGAGGTGGCTCAAGCGGTAGCGCGCTCGCCTAGCATGCATGCGGCCCGGGTTCGATCCTCAGCAGCACCATATACCAACAAAGATGTTGTGTCCGCCGAGAACTAAGAAAAAATAAATAAATGTTAAAATTCTCTCTCTCTCTCTCTGTCCCTGTCTCTCACTCTCTCTTTAAAAAAAAAAAAAAAAAATTTCAACAGGAATTCCTCAGTTGAGTCTGCCTCTATTAATACTTCTTGTTATATAGTTACTTACATAAATAATTTTCTAAACCATGCTGAGTAGGTAGCACCATAGGGAACTGAGAATTGGGTGTCTATTAGATATCATTTCCTATACCTAGATTGCCTTCTCCAGTCTTTGGAAATACTTTTTGTTTTCTTCTTCTTTTCATACGGGGATTGAATCCAGGGGTACTCACTGAGCTACACTCTCAGGCCTTTTTTTATTTTTAGATAGGGTTTTGCTGAGTTGCTTAGGCCTCACTAAATTGCTGAGGCTGACCTCAAACTTGGGATCCTTTTGCCTCAGCCCCCTGAGACACTGGGATTGCAGGTGTGTGCCACTGCGCCAGGCTTTAAATATTTTTTTTTTGGTGTGTTTGTGAGGTGCTGAACATTGAACCCTGGGCCTCACACATGCTAGGAAAGTGCTGTATCACTGAGTTACAGATCCTGCCCCTTCCCTAGTCATTATCATAGTCTAACAAAGCCGTCACTGAGCTTTCAAGTTCCAGTTTCTAATTTTTGTCCTTTATGACTTTTCCCTTTCTTTCTTCTATGGGTACTTTAAAAACTCTGAATGAGGGAGTCTTCCAGTTCAAGTGTCACTTAGGAATGCTGGAAGCTTGCTTATATCTTCTCTTAAATTAATTATATTACAAGTATTAAGTTTCCAAATTACATATCTTTTTTGTGACCTCTTGACCCACGATTAGCCAGCTTTCTGTTCTGGGGGATAGAGTGGAGCCTGGACAAAGATTACTGAAGTCTAGCTTCTCCATGAATGGAAGATAGCAGGGATGGGTAAGGGCCGTATGTGGACTTTTTCATCTGACCTAAAGTCAGATCCCACTGTTTTCTTTCAGTGGTGGGCTATGCCACAGTGGGTTCATTATGCTACTTAAATTGTTACTACCCAGCAAAGCAATTGTTACCTGATGAATAATTAACTTAAAAGAAATATAACTGATTGCTGGCTATTGAGACTTAATAACTAGTTCTTGAGAGAAAGTTATAAGAATTTAGCAGAGGGTAATGCTTAATTAAAAATTGAACTAAATATTGCTTTTAGCTTGGTAGAGATGAGTTGGAGATTTCAAGGTAATGGCTTTCTTCCTTTATTTCAGCTCCATCACCAACAGATTCACCGGGCCAAACTGTACAAAGCTCACATATTTCTACTTCAAATATGAAAGCTGTAACACAAGAAAACCTGATCAAATCTTCTATTTCCCATATTAGTACCACTCTCCCTCCTGCAACCAGTACAGAGAAAAGTGGAAGAGCATCTGCAGCCCCCCATCCCTCCCCTACCACTTCTCTGTCCCAAGAGGAAGCTGATAACAATGAAGATCCGAGCATAGAGGAGGAGGATCTTCTCGCACTGAATAGTTCTCCATCTACAGCCAAAGACACTATGGACAATGGAGATTATGGAGAATCAGACTATGACTGGACCACCAGCCCCAGGGATGAGTCCGATGAGACTTTAGAAGAAAACAGGGGTTACATGGAAATTGAACAGTCAGTGAAATCTTTTAAGGCCCCATCCTCAAATGTTGAAGAGGAAGACAGCCATTTCTTTTTTCATCTTATTATTTTTGCTTTCTGTATTGCAATTGTTTATGTTACATATCACAATAAAAGGAAGGTAAGTTTGGGGGATTTTTCAGCCTCTCGTTGTGTATTATTAGCTCAATTTTATTTCTTATCAATTATATTTTAGTTTAAATTGGTAAAATATCAAGCTGTCTAATTGATTTGTAAATCTGTGGTGTATTTTAACAAACTACAGACAGAATACTTGTATGTGTTTCTAAAAAAAAAGTGTCATTATTTCTTAATGAGTAAAACGCAAGGTCAATATTTTTTTTTTGTTTTTTTTTTTCCTTTTCAGTACTAGGGATTGAACCCATGGGTGCCATATCACTGAGCCTTATCCCCAGTCCTTTTTATTTTTCATTTTGAGACAGGGTGTTTTTTTTTTTTTTTTGGTACTGGGGATTGAACCCAGGGGTGCTTAACACTGGCCCCTTTAAAAATATTTTATTTAGAGACAGGGTCTTGCTAAGTTACTTAGGGCCTAAGTTGCTGAGGCTGTCTTTGAATTTGTGAATCTCCTGCCTCAGCCTCTGAAGCTGCTGGGATTATATGTGTGTGCCAAGAGCCTGGCTAAAATGGATTTTTTTTTTTTTTAAAGAGAGAGAATTTTTTTAATATTTATTTTTTAGTTTTTGGCGGACACAACATCTTTATTTTTCGTGGTGCTGAGGATTGAACCCAGGGCCACACACATGCCAGGCGAGCATGCTACCGCTTGAGCCAAATCCCCAGCCCCTGAAATGGATCTTAATAAGTTACCAGAGCTGGTCTCAAATTTGGGATTTTCCTGCCTCAGCTTCCTGAGTTGTTGTAACATGTTACAAAAAAATTTTTTTTAAAAAAAAATTTTTATGTCGTCATTTAGCATTGATATCTCAGTGTGAGTACTATGATTTTATAATCTTTTTTTTTTAATAGTACTCACACTGGCTCTAAAAGTATTTAATGTTTATTTTAGGAAATTCAGAAAACATGAGTTTAGAAAATAAAATTCAAGCTACTATCCAAGGGTATTAACATTTTGGAATATTTCTGATCTATAAGTGTATATATAATTCATACATACATGTGTATAAATTTTAAATGAATATTATATAGTTTTTTATCTTGCTTTTTGCCTAACAAATCCTGACCATTTTCTATAATATTAATATTCTTTAAAAACATTGTTTGATAGCTGCATAATTGATTCAGCCATTTTCCTATTGGACATTTAGATGATTTCCAATTTTTGGTTCATAAATAATATTGTAACAAACATTTCTATGCTAAAACACTGGCTGGGTGATTTAATGTAAGAGTGTATCTCTGTACCATACAGTCTCATAAAGGCTGAAGAGTTGAGCTTTTCAGAATACTCAGAGAGATCAAACACAGAATTTCCTTTTTAATCAGGAAATCTCAGTTTTTGACTATTGCTTTTAATTCCTGGAAAGTCGTCTTCCTATTCTGAGCTTCATTTTCTTACCCAAAAAATGGCAAAATTGGAGCAGACAATTTAAAAATGCTTATAACTTTGAAAATCAGTTAATCTAATAATAGAAAGTAGCAAAGAAAGCTGATTGTGGTGGTAAATGCCTGTAATTCCAGTGGATGAGGAGGCTGAGGCAGGAGGATTAAAGCCAGCCTCAGCAAAAGAGTGAGGCACTAAGCAACTCAGTGAGACCCCCATCTCTAAATAAAATACAAAATAGGGCTGAGGATGTGGCCAAGTGCCCCAAAGTTTAATCTCTGGTTACCACCCCTACCCCACCCCCCCAGCCCCCCCAAAAGAAAGAAAATACCAAACAAACTAACCCTCGGGTTATTTGTCATTACTGACCTATCACTGGCTTTGAATTTGTAGATAGACAGATTTTTGAATGCTAGTGATATTGTATCCTAATGTTTGGTGTTGGACTATCTTTGTTATAACTCCTAATGGACTTGTGAAAGTAGGCTACTGGGCTCCATCTCAGCTCCTAATTCAGGCTGAAAGTAGAGCCCCAGAATCAGAGTCACTCCTGTGTCCATTAACATCTGAGAAACACTGTCTGACCTTGTTTATAAGATGAAAAAACAAAATAGCCTTTTTTATTATTGATATTTTAGTTTTGGGAACTGAAGAGAGAGAGATTTCACTTGTTATAAAAACTTTTACTATATTTTTTTTTCTCTTTTGTACATCTAATTAATTTTCTTTTTTATTCCAGATTTTCCTCCTAGTTCAAAGCAGGAAATGGCGTGATGGCCTTTGTTCCAAAACAGTGGAATATCATCGTCTAGACCAGAACGTTAATGAGGCCATGCCTTCTCTGAAGATTACCAATGATTATATTTTTTAAAGCACTGTGATTTGAGTTTGCTCATTATATAATTTTATTTGCTTGACTTTTTATATGATATTGTGCAGTTGTTTGCCATAGGCAGTTGGTACTTAAATGAGAGGCGCATTTCTCTCTTTTGCCTTGGTGCTTTGGAAATTGAATGTCACAAACAGGGAGTATATGATTTTTAAATCTACATTTTTAGAGCTGAATTCAATCAGGTGTTGTCTGAAATGTGAGTTAAGCATTACCTTACATTTACACTGGTAGTTTTTGTTATTTTCCATTCATTGTACTTGTTCTGGAAGTAATGCTACTTTTAAAGATCCCAGACTTGTAACTAAATTCTAACATAGTTAGTACTATTGACTTAGAGTCATTCTCTGCCATCCAGGTACTATTTTTTAAAGACACATTACTTTGCAGTCCCAAACCAAAAGGTGCAAGGGTATATGTAATAGTACTTTGCATTCAAGTAATACACTTTTTTCTCTAAAAGAAAATTGCTTTGTGTATTTTAGGCAATTAAAATACAGTTTAAGATAATGAGACTGCTCAATCCCACTAAAGTTTTAGGTAGCATATTAAATGTGTCTAAAAATTCTGGCAGAAGAGACTGAATTTTCAGTGATTGTAGATAAAATATTATATAGATATCATTTTTGGTTTGAATTATTGAATTAAATTGTAGGTAGAAATTGGTAAAATGTTAAATAGACGAAGAATTACTTTTAGTTAGCAGTTGATTGTACCACAGGTTCCTCAAAAATTTCAAGCAGTGGGCAGAGTTTAAAATTATATCATTTGTTCATTTTGGTTTTTATTGTATAGTAAGTTTGAGTAAATTTTAGGGCCCATTATCACTTAAATAAGACTGTATCTCAGTCTTTCAAAATAAAATTATGCCTGAATGAAATTATTTGTAATTATTTGAAATTATTTCTTGTTTATTTTTTATAGCAACTGGAAGTTATTTACTGTATTTCCTTTGAGTCTGTCTTTCTATCACAAAGAATTGATCAGTATGTAAATAAGTGATTTGAACCATGTTTGACTTACAAGTGTCACTACAACTTTTCAGAAAGAATCACCTCTACTATGTGTTAAACAAGGCCCGGGCGAGCCACAGTCATGTGCTTTGTGTAGAGATGGAAGAAGCAGCACCGTCCATCCTTCCTCTCGGCTGGACACTTGACTGCCCCAATGAGGAAAGGAAGCACAATGGAAATACACCCAAACTGTTTTATTGCAGTAATTTTTTTCATATTTGAAATTGTATTATTTAATATTTTGAATAAGATTTTAAAAAATAAATCCAAGATATAATTCCATGATTTTATAATTGTGTTTCATTTTAGTAGTAATGTGGTGACAGAGGTCAGTGCTGTCTGGGAGAGGAAACAAACTTGATCAGCTTGCTATCATTCCCTCTTAGCTATAGAACTTTGTAAGAATGCTACCTATATTTTAAATCCTTATTTAGCTCCAATTTCCAACAAAATTGAAAATGAAACAAAGTAGGATGGCAAAGGAAAGGACCTGCTCAATGTGCTCTTCCTAGCATCCTGGACTCCCTATTATGGGAGCCTTTTCAACTTGGAGGCTCATCCCCCTTTAATGGATCTAGATCTCCTAGGTACTTCCTGATGTCCCAGTCTTTGCCACTCAAGTTCCAGTGCTGCCTTCAACAGCATTTGACTTTTGGAGCTTCAGATTATACATTAATTAAAAATGTTGTTGGAGTCACAGAGGCATCTGCTGGACAAAGGACTGAAGACTCACATTTGAACCTTATAGCATTTATGTATGTTATTCATGTGTGTATGATCTGCTCCCTTCTGGATAGACTAGAAACTATACTCAGTGTTGGTACTGATGGCATAAGTCACCCTTTAGCTCCCATCTGTGTCTTAACTGAAAAGGAATGTATTGAAACTTGAAAGACAGAAATAGACATTTAGCATTTGTACAGGCTGGCATGCAGGCATGTCTCGATGAGGGTTTCTTGATTTTAGGTGTAAACTCAGGATGAGTGTAAGCTCTTTGGGGAGCATGTTGTTTGCCCCAGAGTCTCTTGAGAATAGGAAGTAGCTGTTGCTGTCTTCCTACCCCCAATTCAACACTGTGCCTGGCACTTTCTAAGATATTCAATGCAATGTTTGAGAAGAAAAAGTAGAGCCCAACTCTGCAGAGGATCACATAGTATATAGTTTATGCTAACAAACTGGACACAACGGCTCTTAGGGCTTGAGAGCCAGGATGTAGCCTGTCAGTCATTATCTGCACATCCACATTTCTACTTGAAGCTGAAACCAACACTGGCTATGAATTGTCACCCTTTCCCCCAAATACCAGGTCTTGGTTAGAGCAGTTGCTGCCTGTTGAGGTCAAGGTTGCTGCTGACACAGCTGCCAGGCCTTCTAGCTCTCCGCCCCTGCTGTGTGTGTATAATGATTGCACTTCTGCCTTAGCTGGTTTGCTGCTCTAACAGTTGTCTCTAATGGGTTCTACCTGAAGCTGTTCCATCTTGTCTTCTGAGGGCAAGATGTTTTCCAAGTCAATAGAAGAAAGCTACCCTGAGGTTTGAGGTCTATTTGGCCTGATCCAGCACAGCCTTGGCTGTAATTTTTACAGTAGGATTTTGTTCACCTGTGTTTTCACTTTGGCATGAGGAAGGGAAGTTGCTTGGACAGATTCTGGAATGGAATGAGGACCATTTCTGACTCATATGCCAGGAGCCTGATCTCTCAAGACATTCTGTCTAGGCAGCTTAAGTAACTCAAGGGATTTGATTTTGGATAAGCAACAGCTTCTACTGAATGAGAAGTTTATATCTCTTTCACCTCCTTCTGAAAATAATCCTTGATTTGTTTTCTATCAGTAATGAAGCTCCAGATTTAAAAGCCCTTCGTTCCTACTTAGGAAGTCTTTATCTGTCACTCTAATATCTCTGCAGTGAAACCTTCAACTGCCTAATTTCTCTGCTGGGAACCCCTTTACTTCCTGGATGCCCTCTCTTGCAGGCATGAGGGTTGGGTGTACTGACACCTGAGACCCTTCCATGGGAAGCAGTGTCTTGGAGCGGGTTAGAGCTGTGGTGGGCCCTAGAATCTCAGAGGCCAGGATTCCCATTCTGGGCCTGACCCCAAGGCTCAGAGTCTTCCCCAGGCCATTCTGTGGCCTCTAGAAAGAGGCCAAACATATTTCCTGCCATTTCCTTGGGAGTGAGGAAGGGTCAGGGTTCTCAAGGGATAACAAACATTTTGGGCCTTATTGGGGCTAAAGTTGGCTTGGCCCATGTTGCTTCTACTTGGTCTTTAGAAATACAGACCTAGGGAGAAAAGCAGGGAAAGGATGGGTGTGGAGTAGGGCAGGGGCTGGATGACCTTGATTGAGCTTTTTGTTACTCAGTTCCTACTTTTAAAATTGGTGATTTATGACCTTCCAGGTCTGTTAGGAGGAGTAGATAGTTTTTGTTTTGTTTTGTTTAGATAAGGCTCCAAATTCCCTATTGCTCTAGAACACAAGACAGCTAAAGAAATGTGAGAAGAAAATATTACTAAAGGTCCTCAATAATTTAGGTGTGTTCTCTTTTCCTTCCTTTAAAAATTTCTTTTATTATAATTATGACATAGCACATCATAAGGAAATACATAAAATCAGCTGGGCATTGGTGGCACATGCCTGTAATCCTAGTGACTCAGGAGACTGAGACAGGAGGATTATATGTTCGAAGCTAATCTTTATCAAGACCCTGCTTCAAAACAAAACAAAACAAAACAAAATAAAAAAACGATAAAATCAATATACAGCCTAACATTTTATTATGTTATTATAATATATATTTATTATATTATTAAGCAAATACTTGTGTAACTACTGTCTAGGTAGAGAACTGGAACTTTGCTGGTACCCCAAACCCTCTGCCCAAGCACTAAAGCACTATCTTCACCCTGCCTCTACAGGGAGCTATCATTTTTAATTTATGGCAATTACTCCCTTCTATCCACCTCCAACCTTTTTTTTTTCTTTTTGGAAGTTATGGACCAAACTTGGGTGCTTTTGAGCCATAATCCCAGTCCCCCCCTTTTTTTTGAATTTAGGGGTACATGACCCCTTTTTAAAAATATTTTTTAGTTTTAGATGGACCCAATAACTTTATTTATTTATCTTCATGTGGTGCTGAGGATAAAAGCCAGTGCCTCACCCATGCTAGGAGAACACTCTACCACTGATCTACAACCCAAGCCCAATCCCATCACTTAAAAAAAAAAAATTAAATTTTGAGACAGGCTCTTGCTTAGTTGCTTAGGGTCTCACTAAGTTGCTGAGATTGGCCTCAAACTTGCAGTCTTCCTGCTTCAGAGTTGCATGGCTTACAGGTGTGTGCCACCATGCCCAGCCCTTGTATTTCTTTTTTAGATTTACCATGGAAGTAAATATCTCTAAACCCCATCATCTGGTATAGTTTGTAAATTCTCATAAATTAAATCATGCAGTATGTGTTATGTACTTTTGTACTACTGGCTTCTCTCATTCAACATTAGGATTGTGAGATTCATCATATTAGTTCCATGGGTGGCTGCAGTCCATTTTCTTTGCTGTATTGTATGTGTTGTGAAACATATACTGCCATATGCTTATTTAGTTTACTGTTAATGGACATTTGAATTGTTTCTAGTTTCAAACAATTATGGATAATACTATTAGGAATGTTCTCACATTTTTGTGGCTTTGTAGCCATATACTTAGAAGGTTCAGTTGTTGAATGTATGTGTTCAACTTGAATAGCTAATGCCAAACAATTTTCTAAAATGATTGTAACAACCCCTAGCATTGTATGAGTTTCCTATTGTATTAAAGGGAACAGTGCCTTGCTGAGGCTTGACATTATTCGTATTCTTAATTTCAGCTATTCTGGGGGATAGTGGTTTGACTTTGCTTTTCCTTGATAAATAATCATAGTGATTATTTTTTCATATGTTTATTAGATATTTGGCTGTCCTCTTTTGTGAAATGCTTGTTTGTAATTTATTTTTCTATTGAGGTATATCCCTCCTCCTCTTTTTGTGTGTGGTAGTGCTGGGGATTGAACCCAAGGCCTTGTGCATGCTAGGCAAGCACTCTACCACCAAGCCATATCCCCAGCCCTATCTTTTTCTTACTAGTTTGGGAGAGTCCTTTCTTTTATATATGAACCCTTAGTTGATTGTAATATTATTATTGTTGAGTTTTTATTACTCCTTATTTTTTGGGTGTACTGGCGATTGAATTTAGGGGTACATGACCACTGAACCACATCACCAGCCCTATTTTGTATTTTATTTAGAGACAAGGTCTCACTGAGTTTCTTAGTGTCTTGCTTTTTGCTGAAGTTGGCTTTGAACTTGTGAACTTGTCTCAGCCTCCCGAACCATTGGGATTACAGGCGTGCACCACCATGCCTGGCTTGAGTTTTATTTTTAAGTGGCAAATAATTTTATATATTTATGGTACTATGTAATGTTTTGATATGTTTACCTTGTGAAATGATCAAATTGGGGTAATTGATATTCTATCAACTCATATATTTATCATTTCTTTGAAGTGAGAACATACAAAATGCTCTTATTGTTATTTTGAAATATATAATACATTATTATTAGCTATAGACACCTCACTGTGCCATAGAGCACCTGAACTTGTCCCTACCTACTAACTATAGCTTTATACCCATTGACCAATATCTTTCCTTTTGTCAGCTGTACCACTCCTGACCCTCAGGCTCTGGTAACCACATTTCTGCCTTTACATCTATGAGTTTGACTTTTATTTCATATATAAATGAATTTATACAGTATTTGTCTCTCTCTGCCTGGCTTATTTCACTCAAAATAATATCCTTTAGGTTTATTCTTATTTTCTATTTCTGCCATTATTTCTTTAAAAATGTATTTTGTTCCTTTCTTTTTTGGGCCTGCCAGTAATAGATAGGTCATCCCGTGTCTGTTAACTGTCTTTACTCTTTTTTATTTCTGTTCCTTATATTGGATGATATCTAGTGACCTATTGTTTGCTTGATCTGATTAGCTATTAAAATCCTCTATTGAATTTTCCAGTTCAGTTACAGTATTCTTCAGATCTATGATTTCTCTTTGGAACATTTTAAATGTTTTTTGCTGAAATTGTCAGTTTTTCCTCACATTGCTCTTTTTGGTATTGGTGATCATTTTTTATGACCATTATTTTAAATTCCCTGTCAGGTAAATCATTTATCTCCACTTCATTTGGGTTGATTTTTGGAGAGTTTTCTTTTGTTGGAAATATATGTCTCCTGTTTCTTCATTTTCCTTGT